GTTCAAGTATAAAATATGTATTGTAAACGTTAAACAAACAAATTATTAGATTTAGCACATATTTACTATAAATTCTGCGCAGTGGGGTCACATAGTGGACTGTACCCTGCTATCCTCTGTACAGAGGAGGCCTTTGCTCGGCAGTGGACCATGTATAGGCTGACTTTTTACTTTTATTGAGAAATGTTATATAAATTTTCATTGACTATGGAATCTTCATTCAATGAGTTCATTCTTGATTTCTGGCAACAATTTTATTATATACTAGTGACCCGCCCCGGCTTCGCACGGGTCTAATATAAATATTAAATTTCCCAGCTTTTCTGCACCATATTATGCATGTATTCTACATATAAAACCGCTTGAATCTATTGCTGAAAACCGTTGCGTAGTTTAAATAATCTAAGCGTACAAAAATCGGGAGCGTTCTTGTTTTATACTATGTAAATATAACATTTGCTTCGCTAGTTTAATATAGGTCGATTGTACAGTCAGGGACACTGGCGGTTAAGCACCTTAAAGGCGAAAATCGTTTGAACATTTCGTTCGCCTTGAGACGATGACGCGGAAACGATAGCCAAAAGGATGCAGATTTTAAGTGTGTTTGTACACTTAACAGTACAATTAAAGGTCGTTCAATGCGATAACAATAGAGTTTTAAAAGTAATGATTTTTTCGGGACAAGCAAGGTGCGATAGCTGAGCGTGTCGCATCTGTGGCTAATATTTTGTTTAACAAAATTAAAAGAATTAGAAAATTGTCCATTCGAACTCAGTGTGCGTGATAACTTGTTTTTTATTGACTCAATGAAGCCTTTCGCTTTTCAAGCGATCCGGGAACGGGTAATGACATTTTAATCGAATTATGTTCCAACTTTTGTCCGTTTTGAAATTTATTTCGGCGGAGTTTCGACGTCATAAAAATAAAAGGGCTATCGGCGACCTCTTTCGCGGAGGTCTTTATGAATATTCACGGTTAATGAGGCTTCAACATCGGATCCTCTAGTTTTATATTTCAGCGGCGCTAACAGCTCGTGAAAGGGTAAGATTAATTACTGACATTATTCATTATTTTCTCCTTAAAAACTACGCGGCTTGTGGAAAAATGTTTAATATGCATATCTATATAACATAGATCATGAATAAACAGTTATGAACGACTATTTTAATTTATTCCCTTATTAAGTTTAATTCTGTTTGGTTTCAAATACTTTACATATTCTCAGATTATTATATTTAGATTATTTTTAGATTATACCCTATTAAAAAAATTATTAGCTCCACTATTATAATTGATTTGAAAAGTAGCTTATGATTTTTCGTGAGTCCTTTTAATAATAATAATAATAAATAATAATAAAATATCTTTATTCACATAGACGCTTGCGCGTTCTTATGAAACGTCAAAATTTTACAAGAAATTAACACGTTCGTAAGTTACCACCGGTTCGGAAAGCAGTTTCTGTTGAGAAAAAACCGGCAAGAAACTCAACAGTTGCTCTTTTTTAAAAAAAGTCAGTTTACAATATAAATAGTACATGTACAATAGTCTTGTTTTAGCCTACGTGAGTATCAACAGTGTTAACCCCACACATTGGCGTCGTCAAGATATTCAGCAATAGAATAATAGGCTTTAGCCATAAGTTTACTTTTAATTTTTCGTTTAAATTCATCAAGTGGCAGACTTAATATCGACTGTGGGATTTTATTATACATGCGCACACCTTGCCCCATGAACGACCTGTTTACTTTTTGTAAACGAAACAATGGCGTAGTTAGTTTGTCCTTATTTCTAGTATTTAGTTTATGTCTGTCACTATTCTTTAGATAACTATTAATATTATTTTTAACATACAAAATATTACAATATATTACAATAAATGTTGTTAATGTTTTAAATCATCGAGAATATTTTATGATTGCCATTTAAGAAATAAAAGTTACAACGTGATTTCGAAATATACCTATTTCCATGTCATAAGGGTGGTAAGAAAAGTAAGAAGAGTAAGCTAGGAGGCACACGTGGATCCCGTAATTTTAAATTTTTGAGATGGTATGGAACTGAAAACTTATAGAACGGAAATACTACAAATGTTATTATTTTTGTTTGTAATATGAACAGAATTGACTGTATTAATAATATCATTAATACAGTCATTTCTACGAGCATTTTAGTACATAATAAGAAAGGCTACTTACAGATTCCTGAAAACAAAATAAAAGTACATTTAATACAATGGTAAAATAATATTTTTGCATTTATCACCATTCTCCTGAAACGCTAATAAAGTCTCAATTCTGAATTTATATTAAAATTCAAAGGGATGCTCAGAATGAAGATTTTCATAGGATGCATTAAAATCTGTTTCCACCGCTCCATTGTTGGGTTGTGGTACAGGTGACAGGAAAATACTTGATCTTAATTTTGAAACTGAGACAATTATTGATAATTATTAATTATTAATTCCATTTTATAGTCACGGTAATTATTGATTTGTTAAATGTTGTCAACATCAAGAATTTAAATTTAAAACTAAATCCTTTAAAATCGGTAATTAACAATGTGTCGTTTTTGCCTATAATATAGACATGTTGATTTCTTTATAATATAAAGAAATCAACATGTCTATATTTTTTACTAAAAGAGATATGCAGGTTGTATTTTAATGTACGTAATGTAATTATTAGTACATTAATGATATACAAGGAACGGATCGGATCTAAGTTGGTATTGCAGTATATAGTTATAATACTAGTATATTAGTTGTAATTTTTCCAACGGAATGTTTAATGTAATTTTAGAACTACAATAGGCGTTAAGAGCTGCCAATTGATGAAAGGTAAACCGGTTTCGTAATTTTTTTAAATCTCTATCTAAACTTTGTATATATTACATACATTTTTTAACTACTCCGTACACCTGTCACTTGAGCCACGTCCCATGTCCGTTGGGACGGCAATAACAAGTCCATAAACCGTTTTTACTGCCTTTGTTCAAGTAAATGTATGTAGGTTTCGACTTTTTAAACAATGACCGTATTTTCTTAACGAAAGACGGATATTTGCGAGGACGTCTTCGAGTTCATTTGTGTTCTCCGTGATAGATAATGGGAAGATATTTTAAAGGAAATGCGGTCGAATGAATGGGGTTTTCGTACGGTTATTTTCCCATGTAAAAACCACAAGTTAAATGAACAAATAGAAAACGGAATAGAGAACATTCAAATAGTTTTTTAAAATTATATCTTGTGTTTTGTGAACCGTAACTTACAAATTTGCTAATTTTAGGTTGTTCGTATCATTCGATCGACTTTATGATAGATCCGTGGATATAGAATAACAGTAGATCCGCATTGTCTATCTGCCTTCCCTCTTAGGTGTTAGTGTGTGTTATTTGAATGCTTACCTTATGACCTTCAAACATAAATTGCTTTATAAAGAAACATTTGTTCATTTATTGCCTCATTTCATTCATTCGCTTATCCATCCTTTCGCATACCCTCCAAAAATCTTACTGTCGCTCTGAAGTCAGGTTGAATTTTGAATTTGGAACAACTATGTTGTTCGAGTGTATCTCGTTCATTGTGATTAACTTGATATTATTTTCTTGACTTACTGTACTTATATTTTATTGACTACAGTACAAATTATTAATGCAATTCAATCTTTGGCTCTACAATGATGTAGTGCTAACGCCCTCCTATAGCACCGCCATCGCCGCTCCCCAATTGTGCTTTAAGTGGGTCATTGCATGTTCGCAGACATCAGATATTATCCTATTTACAGAACTACATCCTTCCATCACACCTAATAATCCTATCGTGGTAGGCAATGGCATTAGAGTATACTAGAACGTCCAAAGTAACTATAAAGTATGCATAGGGAGCCCGAATAATTGAGAGTAGATTATTAAAATCTTTTTGACATGGGAGATATAGGGAGTCTGAATAATTTTAAATTGATTATTATTAAAATATATTAGATATTGATAAGTGACACGAAGACCACCACGAATACTTTGTAAAGCTGCTTTGTGGTGATTGTATGGCTTGTTCTATAATCATCACATAATAATAATAAATAATAATAATAAAATATCTTTATTCACATAGACGCTTGCGCGTTCTTATGGAACGTCGAAATTTTACAAGGAAATTAATTAATATGTTCGTAAGTTACCACCGGTTCGGAAAGCAGTTTCTGTTGAGAAGAAACCGGCAAGAAACTCAACAGTTGCTCCTTTTTAAAAGGTCAGTTTACAATATAATTTTACAGGTATAATAGTCTTGTTTTATGTCACCAAAGGGAATAAGATCAATGAGATTGTGCTCAAACAACAGCGCTATCTTAGCCAAGCAAAGATGAGACAACGGTTTGGCAATGAGTCCATATCAGACCTGATTGCGACCACCGCCGTATTGTTTTATTTGGTGTGAATCAGACACAAGCCTTTGAGAAGGAAATGGGGAACGTAACACCTATAATCTCTTCAAGATTAAAAAAGTCAATGTAGAATAATCAAAATTATATTTTCACATGATGTTATGTCTATGTGTTGTACCTATAGCATTTTTAGTATTGCTTTCATATGGAAGTTCTCCTTACTATTATTTTTCTACTTTAGTAGCTTATTATGTTTTTTCAATATTAACAATTTTGAATCTAATCTAATTACATGTTATCATATATCATAAGATTTATTAATTATGTTTAGTTAATACGTGATCAACTATACTTTGAACTCATTTTTAAGAAGACACCACTCATCAGCCACAATAATTCTCGGAAGTGATTAACCGACCGTTTTCATGCTTAATTTTAAATCAAGATCCGTGATGGAATTACGGCCTCATTTTCCTTATTTTCTCCTTTTGAAGTCCTGACATTGTCCTGTCTAAACATTTGTGAGGCACATTCAGAAAGATTAATGCCCCACCATTACCAGTAATGTCTCACTTTGAATCCAGCATCCGAAGCCGCCACAGCCTAGTAATTGGCACCATGTTGATTTTCGCATTGCTATATCTCTTCATACTCTTAAGAGTCGAGACGAAAGCTAACGGCAGCACGTGCGATGATTTCCAAGCAAATTTCACCATTAAGGACATGGTTGGCTCCTGGCACGTGGTCGCGATTATACCTGAGAAAATGTTTCCGGACAACCAGAATCGGATTGCCTGCTATAAAGTCGATTTCAGCGAAACAGACACGGTGAGGTTTATGTGTAAAGAATTTTCTGCTCTTACACCCGCGGAAGAAGACGATTAAGTAGATTACATTGAAGTTGCGTGGTTTTAGTTAATTTAATAGTAGTGCATATTTTATTTAATATATTAATTATTTTAGAGAAGGTGGCAAATAAGCAGACAAATGTAAGAATTTAAATGAGGACCACTACTCAAGGAAAGCCATAACTTGGGGTATACTATACGTTTTCAAACCTTTAAAAAGACGATGGTCCCTCAAAACCACAATGACCAGACGAAATGCAAACGCCGAAATACTTCTAGTTTATTTTTGTTTACTCTGACGTCGTGCTCCAGCACTCGACAGTAAAGATCAAGTTTAATTGCATATGTTATTAGACTCTGTTCACAATGCTATGATCTTACAGGCAGGACTGCGATGGCTGGTGAACAATACCGTGGAGAAATCGACAAAAGCCGATCCCTTGACAAATATAAATGGGGTTGTTATAAGACAGAGGTACCATTCGGAACGTCCGTTTGATGTCTGGTCTAAATCCATCGAAGGTGTGAACGGTTGCTTCAAGCAAGTTCTATCCTTGGATACTGATAAGAGCGAACTGAGTGAGTAATGCATTTATTTCTGTTTCGTCTTTGCTGTATGATGTTTGCATTTTCAGTTTCTTGGACTCTCTAACGCTAGAATACCTCTTTTTAGGGTTTCGTACCCAAAGCGTAAAACAGGACTCTATTACTAAGATTCCGCTATCTGTCTGTCTGTCCGTCTGTCAGCATAGTAAGTCCGTCTATCAGTGATAGTAAGACAGTTGAAATTTTCATAGATGATGTATTTCTGTTGCCGCTATAACAACAAATACTAAATAACAGAATAAAAAATATTTAATTGGGGCTGCCATACAACAGACATGACATTTTTTTATATTGTTTTTATTCAATTTTTAATTAGTGTATTTTTGCCGTTTTTATAGATAATGTTTCGTGCGTAAGTCACTCGCATTTGGTCGTTTTTTTATCTTAGTTACAATTACAATAATGCTTTATAACTATTAAATTAACACGGTCTGCCTCTGATGAAGCTTATAACTAGTCTAACTAGTCTAAAACATTGTAATGCTCAGTTAAAGAGAGACATTCTCGGGCACAATTTGATTAATACTTTTTTTGGTCTTAGATAAGACAAGATTAGACGAGTGTCTTGGAGGGATGATGTTTTAATGGATATTTTATATCATTTTTTTAATTGCAATATCATAATAATCGCAGGCAAAGCAATCACACACGATGACATGATGCAACTCCATATATTGGAGACCAATGACAACGCTGGACCATTTCTGCTGCAAATGCTTTGGGGGAGAATGATCGCCGTGGTAATTTATCGACGGCAAGAGGTATTGATTGTTTTAATTGATTCTTGGACAGGATGCTTTTTTGAAGGGGAGAGGTTCAAACAGTCCCGATATGTATGATGTTTGTACGATTATATTTTAACTGGATTGTTCGTTTCGTTTATCTTTTGTACAATCTGGAATATAATTATTCGTTAGATACACAGTGTCGGTATCCCAGTACTCGCTTTATTCAATATACCCTAGCAATATCAATCTACTTGAATCCTGCCTATTATCCTAACAAAAGTATCATAACAATTTAATTGCTGCCGGCACAAAATTGCAATTCAATTGTTAATTGCAATTTTAAGTGCCGACCTATCACGTGTTCAGCGGTGAAGGAAAAACGTCAGGAGAAAACCTGTATGTTTTTGCAATATAACAAAAAAAACATTTTGAAGATATGTGCGTTCTGTCCATCGGCGATGGCACTGCACATCTCGCTCTGTACAGAGGAGGCGTTTGTCCAGCAGTGGGATACATAGACATAGGCAATTTACTTTTAGTGATGATTAAATGACGACTTCTACTTGGGACGCTAGTCAATGTTGAAAGGTTAGTTGCAAAGTCTAACTGAATTATGATTCAATCTTAAAACAATTCAAAAGTTGTTACATCAACCGGGACGTATAAGGGATATAGTTTTAGGATTCATCGTTTATAAGTGAATAACACTAGCCCACCCTTCGTTTTCTTTTCTGTTAACAGACTTATGTTTATGGCATTTAAATAAAAATATAAAATTTTTAATTTATCCAACATTTACAACATTAAATCTATCTCAAATTACATACTGTCTAAAAGATCTAGTCCACGCGGCATGGTGCAAAGAACGCTAGCTGCACTTCCTCGCTGAATAGTTACGCTTAACCTTTGAGCGAGAAAAGAACCAGCTGTCTTGTCACCAGCCGTGGCGTTGAGCCTAGGGCGTAAACCTGTAAAAAAATTCGATGTACTTGGACCCCACGGACTCAATGTTTCAACGGTAATTTTTTTTATGTGAAGAAGTGGCAAACGCCCTGGCGGGTCACCTGAGGTTAAGTAATAACCACCGCCCATGGACATTTGCAACACCCGTGCAAATGTGTTGCACCAACTAAGCTAGGCCCTGCTACCTACCTCACCAGACGAAACGCAGAAGTGTAACACTTCTACTTTACGCCGGTCTTCTGTGAGCTCGTGGTAATTACCCTGACGGACCTGCCCATTCGTGCAACAGTGAAAACTGTCGCCTGGACCTACCACTGTTAAATGGCACAAATACATAATATAGAGACATAGAGAAATTTAAACATAGAGACTCATTTACCCTTCGTTTTGTTTGTAACAAATTAAAGAGTTTTAACGTCTTAGGGGGTGACTCAAGATGAGCTGAAACCCGTGTTTGAAATGGTGACCAAGCTGCGAGGACCGCAGCGGATCCCGAAAATCTGCGGCGGACCTTTTAGAGACGTTTTTAAGCAAATATGAAGGTTAATAAAAATGTTCTGCATTACTCTGTGAGAAATCCTTCGGGATGTCAAAGACTTTCTTAGTGTTACGTGTATCTTGTATTGTCATGTAATATGGAAGTTAAAGTATCTTATTGTGTAATAGTGCTATGTATGAAGAATTTAATACATCTATTTACGGTAAGTTAAATTTAGTGATTAAATAGTGGCCTGAGATGCGAATTTTATTTGACTGAATTTTTACAACAAACCTTGCTCCAAACGGTACGTTAAATTAGCATACGTTTACCGTTTTAAATACAAAACTCTATATTTTCTGACCAAATAAAATACTTAAATCGATTTAGTTGAACAAACTTAAATCGTTTTAACACAACAACTCAAATCGAATTATACGTTTAGTTTAACACAACTCCCTCCGTCTAAGTTCTTTCAATAAAATACAAACCTCTTTTGGCCTTTTTCAACGTGCTATCAAAACTCCTTTGTTCGAAGCGGACTTTAAAAGCGATAGATTTTTATAAAACCTATTTGCCATAGCTCACCGCTGCAAACGTCCAGTTGCTAACAAATTGTGGTCGCTCACGCTATTTTGTTAGGTCCATACTTTACTGTCAAGGAATGCCAATAAAAGCAGGATTAAAACGGACAATGCAATGCACTTTGCGGTAAAAATAATAGGAAATACTAAGACAAATTTAGAACGTGTAATTCTCATAGAGCGCGAAAAACAAACTAGGTATTGATCTTAGGTAAACGTCTTCTTCTTCGGCTTAATTAGCCTTGAAGGATATTTAGGCCGAAGAAAGGGTTGTGAAAATGTGAGTACATCTGTAAAATCCTGAAGTGATGGTGGGCGATTATATGCGAATGTGATTTTTTTATTACTGATTTACTATACTATTGAAAACAAAGAATTATACATATAAGAGACCACAAGGGTTCTTTCCTGTTCCTGTCAGGACTGGGCTCAATTAATGAGATGATGGTGAGTTCTGGCGTTCATAACAGCTTGCCATTAAGTTTATATATTATAAGTGTAAATATTTAAAATATTTCTAAAATCCTTAATAGGAACAAATGTAACGTATCAGAGTTACGTAAGTACCACACCACATTTCGTAAATAATGCAAAATACCTTCCTTCCTTCCTCCTGCCTTTATCCTACGTGGGTGCGGTCGGCACAAAATGTGGATAATGTTGTAAGCGGTTTTGGGTTTGTTTTATTCCGGCCGGCCGTCTGCCTGACGTTAACCCTTGAGAAACAAGCACCCATGTCCGGACACAAAAATATTTGTCTTGTGTGGGAATCGAACCCACGACCCCGACGCCGAAGCCAATAGCTTAGCACCGCCACCGGGTCATCGTACAAATAATGCAAAAATAACACCATTTAATATCACGTAATATGTAACAGAATTGTATATACATATATTTGGAATTGACAGACAGACAGCATCAGGTGTCCAACGGACACTGTGATTGATTTCGTATCGGACAACAACTCAACTTACACCGTAAATGCATATGCAATGTAACTATACAGCGTGTTTCATAAAGTTTTTATCGTTTTTGTAACCGAACGTTACAAAGGACGAACTTTTATTTTATAATGGTTTATAATAGTATAATTTATTGTGTTTCAACTCATGTTAAGTTTAAATAATTTGTTTTTTTTTTTAACGAAAACTGTCTAGCTATGAAAAACAAGGTTGTTAAACTATTAGCATAGGAGAATCATAGTGTCGTAAGGCATTTAATGACAAGGAAATATTTACGTAACTAAAGGTGCTTACGATATTTCATGAGATATTTACTCACACAAATTTATGATAACAATTCAAAAAATTATAGTATTTAGTTATATCAACTTTTTTCATCAAAATTAAGGCTAGAGCTGAGCTTCTTGTTAGGCATAACCTTTAATCTCTCTGGACTAAAGGTTAAATCAGCATTTAAAAGATAAAGATACCAAGTTACTTTTAAATCACTTGTTGTCTAGGTTATTAAAAAATAATCGAAATTTGCACCCGAGATGAGTTTTTGGACGAATAATTGATTAAATCAAAGCAAAAATATACATCGTTATAAATATTATTTGTAACATTAGTGAGAAATGTTTGAATAAAGGAAATTAGGACAGCATGTATATGCGTAGCAAGCATGACGGGTGCTGAGTCCGCCAAATCCAAAAGGGGTGTTCCACTTGGCTCGTTTTATATCTATTGTTTATATGAGACAAGGGACTGTTTTGATGGAATGCCTATTTTACTATCGCTTGTTTCGTATTTGCACAAAGGTAATGATTTTTTAGACGGAACAACCCTCAGTCATTCGAATGTAACCTATTTTTTGTATCCTCCTCAAAGTGTCGTTAGATTTTATATAAATACTAGATAAATATGATAAAAAGTTTGAATGTTTTCATGTAAATACTTATTAATGAAAATTGAACAGTGTAAGGGAGGATTTTAATTTTAATTTTGTATTCTTTATTTTAGTATGCGATAGACTATAGTGTGACATAGACTCTATTAAGATGTTTAATTATATCACGATTAATAAATAAAACTTTTTTAACAAAAAAAAAGAACCAACTTTAAAATAAAATTATGTTTGTAACTATTACAATTTTACATGCAAAACAATGCATATTTATGCATTGTTTTGCAGCAATCGCGGTTGATTTTCTGTTATATTTCGTAGAGTTCCGTTGCTATCTCCGAAAATCATCATCAGATCTATATGAAATTTATATGGGACCATTTCGGAATGAAACCCTTTCGAACAAAAAAAGAATTTTGAAAATCCGTCAATATATGACGAAGTTATGCCCAAACATACATAAAAAATAAATTAAACATCCGAATTGATAGCCTCCTTTTTGAAGTCGTTTAAAAAAGTACATCAGGTTGCATAAAGGGCCTTTATAATGTCGAAGGTAATGTAAGTCTTAAAAATACGTTGAGGACAAGTCCCCTGGCTGCTGCTGATTTTATTCTTAAATAATTTGTAAACATTTATGCTATTTAAAAAAAAAATATAAGATAATAAGACCGTAGAGTTTCTTGCCGGTTCTTATCTGGACGGGTTTAGTTTAGTGACGGTAGTTTTTGACGTTCAATAAGAGCTTAAAATAAGCCTATTTTGAATTAAGAAATTTTGTCATTGACTTTGGAGATCTTGCGATGCATCACCATTAAATGAATTATTGAAAGTTATGAATAACCATTCGTTTTACCGTAACATTGAATTCTGTATTGAAGATACAAAAAGGTTTTAAAGAAATAGAGCTTAGAATTTGTTCCTGAAGACGAAATATGAATTCCAATTTAGAATCCAAGCCATTAAATGCCGTTTAATTGACTTTTACCACGTAATCTTTCGCAGATCCTGACCCGAATACCTCGAGCGCTGGTAAACTTTTAATAGATCCTTAACTCAATCTCGTCATTCGCTTTCCCGTGACGAAATTACGTAAGTCTTTGGGCAATAAAATTCGTCATAAAGACCATTTTATAATAGGGCCATAAAACCGACTATTCGAGAGGGATTGGGAGGGGCCCCCGCGGGCACTTTTTCTAATTTTATGGCCTCGCTTTTCTGTATCGTTACGCGAGCTTTCATTGTGAAAGCGTAATTTCTGGTGGCACCTGAGTCATCCGCAAACAATGGAGGCCGAACGGCATTCTAATTGGCGTCTGCGTCACGATTGTTGCAATCTTCAGCACAAGCCTCGTTCGGTATGAAACTGAAATAAAGTTTGTATTTATTTTCTTTCTTACGTTGTTGAAATGTTAATTAAGTGATGTGTCCTCTGCAATTGTAACTAATAGTTCTGCCGTAAGTGTGCTGCCGCCTAGTAAAAAAATTGTTTTCAGTGATTCATTAGTTAAGGAAGCAGCTGTAAATATCTGCACGTAGTATGTTAATTTTTATTTTTTATCTTGTCTTTTGTTCCCGTTTGTATAAATATAGTATATAAATAAATAAAGTTCAAGATGAATTACGAGGCTACAAGACGATGTAAGTTCAATCCACCCAACACATCGCAATTCAACCATTCGGTACTGAATTATTCTTCTGTGTAACTTGAATATAGGAATTTGTCTGCTGCTGGGTGAGAAAAGTTTTCCAAATTATCGCCAAGTTCGTCTAAAAGTTGCTGTCCCGTCGCGACTTCATGATTACGCTACTTTATTTTAGTTTAAAATGAAATTTATAGTATTTTAAGTACAGTGTTAGTGACGTTATGGATCTCGATGCTCATGAACTCCGCAGAATAAATATAAAATGGTTTAAACGACAAAAAAAAAGGGGAAATTTCGATATTGTTACGATTTTTTAACTTAGACTTTCTATAATCAGCAGGGATTTTCGGTGATATAATTCGATAAATTCGTACACAAACTATAGGCGAGGAAATTTATAAAAAATATATATAACAGTTGTACATTATACATTGATCGACTAGGAAGAGTAATCAAACTTATATCTCTTCTCTTAAGTCTACATACATACCATTGCATGCAATTAATATGGTCAGTTGAATTCTCCTAATAATTGTGCATTATAAAACGCGTCGTAAGAGGACACGCGTTCAAAATATAATCCGTTACTCCTTAAGAAGGCATCGCTAAAGCGCCAGACATTATGATAGCATACATGTAAATACTACATATGCGATTCCGCAAGCAATAATGCCGGATACTTGTCAGTTTCCGGGCGATTTTTCATCATACCATCCGCACGGCCCTCTGATCATTGCGAGTTGCTCACGCGTTTAATTAGTCGCCGTGAGCACGAAGGGTGCTTTTGATTACACCGATAATTGTTTTCAGCGTGTGTCTGACGTCACGAGTGTTTACATGCACAGATTTCGGAGTCATTAGCCGGCGTAATTCACTTTTTCACTGCAGCAGACCCTGGTACGACTAGTAGTCTAGCTACAGTGAAGTAATTTCTCCTATTCTGTATATGAACCAGTTTGAAAGGGGCAGTAGTACATTCTTAGA